ATGTGTACTTCCATCAATCCAGCCTGATTCTAATGGATCCATGGAGGATTCCTCCTTCTGTTTGTAAGAAACTTCTTCACTTGCCGGGGCCAAACCACCTGCTTCCTTCCTATAGGCAGATGGACTTTTAATATTGGACATATCACTGACCTCAGACCCATCATGCTCACCTGAAATATTCATTGTTTTATTATTCGCATCTGCTGATGTTTTGTACTTCTCAAATGCCACTAATCCATCTTCTAGAGCTTGACCATTTCCACGTGGTACCCCTGCCTTTAAAGATGAAACAGATTGCTCAGACTGCAAAGTCACATTCCCATCAAGCAAAGTTTCAGCAGATTCAGTAAGTGTCTGAGAATAATCAGTGTTTCCCTGAGTTCTAAGAAACTGAGAGCCAAAGGAATCATCAGACTTGGATAAACGGTTCAATTCAGCCTGCTCCCTTGGAATCCTTTCAGAGTGAAAAACACGCGGAGGTAAAATTGGTTCAATGTAGCTAAATTCTGTTTCATCAGCCTCAGATGCACCAAACCCAGAGGTTGGAAGTCCATCGGATGAAAATTTATCTTCAGTTCTCTTGTTACCTTCATTACTTGCTTCCAAGGGCACTGATTCTTGAGAAGGATCCTGATGCTTGTTGCTTTTCATAAGCAGAAAATTTGATCCTAAATCTGTGTCCGAATTAATTACTTGCACTGCTTTTGAGTTATAGCTCAAAACAGAAGCATCACTTGGGTTTGATGAAGCTAAGTATTCATGTTCAAATTTTTTACTTTCATTAGTTTCATCAATTTTGTGGAGCGAACCTTCCCTTTTCATTTGTGCATCCTTAAATGATACCTCCTTCTCCAATGATTGGATTTTATCAGGTTCACTCAGCTTTGAAGTTGAGGTCTCTGTAATTTTCCCCTCCTTTAACAGTGCATCTGAATCTTTTGCGTGAAAACCACTGACAGGATAGTCTGTAGCCAAGCCACCATGCTCATACACATATCCCTTGCTGGGCACTGAAGATATATTTTCTACAGGTGTTGCATTGTTATTAAGAACGTAATCATGTTGGGACTGAATAGATGAAGGGACTGAAGATTTTCCAACTTTTTCAGGTAAGCACTGCATGGGGTGGAAAGATGAGAGTTGGGAAGGCCCAAGTTCACCTTGCTGCAACTTTTGTCCAGACGATGGCTGCAAATTGGACTTAAAACCACTGGAGAAATTTGTCCAAATGGTTTGAGAAGATTGAGAAAATGAAGGTGCAGCTATGGTCAAAGATGATTTCATGTTAGCAGGCAATTCTGGGGCAACTTGACCATTCTCTGATCCAACATTGAGGGCAAGTAGCTCGTCTATATTGTTTCCTGGAGTATTACCCAAGGGCGTTGAGTTCCTTCTTGAACTGAGGTCCATACCATTTACAGCAATTACATATTCAATCTCTGAACCACTCTCTGTACTACCAACACCGATTTGAGCATCCTCCAAATCAGAAATAGAAAACAAGAACATTCTCGGCTTTGTTGACCCCCCATTTTCTGGTACGTTACATTCCTCCATCATGTTCTGCAAATCCTCATCACAAGATACAGAAACCAATGCATCAAGATCCTCACCAGGTAGCTGATATTTAATAGTGTGAACTTGATCATAAATTGTTGATGTTTTCTGCAGCAGATTCGACCAAGAAATATCCTTGGTTATATGGATAATACGTGTTTCACCCCCAGCATATCTAAGTTTACCATCACTAGGGCGAGGCATGATTTTACCACCAAAACTGCACAGGAATTTCATCTTTCTTGTAGAGCTATCAGATGCTCCTGAAGATGTAAAACCATGAAGCCGACTGACATCATTTCTGGATGAGGCTCTTGGGACAAACCTCATTGAATTATATGAACTTTTTTCTTCATGTGACAAGCCCCCCCTTTCAAAATGTTGGACGTGATCTTTTTCTACAGGGTTGAGCATGGCAATGCTAGATCCACTATCTGAACTTGCATGGGGAATTCCCATAATGCCTTTTAAATCCATGTACCCAGTTGAGACACCCAGGTCGGGACTATTGGTGGGAATAAAGTGATGCTTGGCATTCACCCTTTCCCGCATAAATTCAAGTGCAAATTCCTCGCCAGTTTGAATGGAGTAATTGTGGCCAGGACTAGCTCCAACTAGCATATTATATTCAGGGGGTCGAATGTTGGTGCTGATGTTGCTTGATGGATCTTGGAAAGATCTTTGATTTGTAGACCCAACTCCCTGATTTCTTGCTTCCAAATTAGTAAGTCGAACTTGTTCATAGTTGCTATGTTGATCTATGGTACCTCTTTTCACATTTCTTTCCATCTAGTTAGACTTGATGGGGACAACCTCAACAAAAAATGCCATGAATAAGACACAGTGCAGTATCGGCAAAACCATACGCTTGAAGTAACAGAGAGCTTCAGCATTCAGATAATCATCTTGCAGATTCTAATCTTGTCCACCAATGTAAAGCTTCAGCACTCGACTGAAAACCTGGAGTCCATGTGTTCAAAGTTAGAAAATGTCTGGTGGGATAATCAGCATTCAGGGATAATAATGGAGAATCAAAATTCAGCTTCCTTGATCCATTTCAGAGGGCGGTGCCCTAGATTTATATAGCTTTATCAAAAGAATACTTCTGGTTATAGATAATAATAAAATACAGAAATAACATAAAAGACAGGTAAACGTGTGTGATGGCAAATATATATCTAATAGTATAAATAACATGATGAAGGTAAAGGAAAATCTTTGATCAAAGTTTCTATCTTGACTATGTTATTTCTGCATATTATATGTATGATTTTAACTCAGACGCCACTGGGCAGCACAATTGCAATAGTTATAGCACTACAATAGTATATGAGCAATGACTGGAAAATGCTGAAGGGCCGTTCAGGGACATTGCTGAACTTTCCTTAGCATCCAAAAAGCTAGTATAGTTGACGTTTTGGTGAGTGAAATGGTGAGTTTCATTCTTATCCTTAACAGGTATTGAGCTCATGGATCCGTAATTTAAGTGATGCACAGGCATGATAGATTATCAAAGTGTTCGGTGAGCACCAACAAGGCTAATATGGTGTCTTTCAGGATAGAATTGATCTCTTAAACTCCATTTTGCCTACCTCGAGTGGAATGTATATTCGTCTAAGAAATTTATTTTTATAAGAGAACTCAAGCAACAAGATTTTTCTCGGTATTAGAATGTAATCTGTAAATGAGCAATATGATGAATGAAAGGAAAGCTCAAGATTTCATAACGCCCATTCGAAACATTATAAAAACTGGAACTATATACGGAAAAACAATAGACATTAGACCGAGTAAGCCTTCAGCCTATAAAAACCAATCAAGCAAAAACCTGAACAAAAACCCAACTGCGTAGACTAATAAGATATTCCCAAAGCTGGCCAACGCTATCGCAAATTGCATAACAGCAGCCGCCTCATCCAGCGCCCGGAAGACACATAAATAGACTCGATTCTTCAACTCTTAGCTATCAATCAGTTTAATTGGCCCAACAAATGTATGATATAGCAACATCGAATATCGAATCGCATGTCGGATTAAAGAAGCGGGATATCACAAATCGAATCACAAATCAGAATAGAAAACTCGCAATTAGTTTGCTTCGGAAAAGATCAAGCTAATGTTTTCACTCATGAGCAGGAGCGGGAAAAAGAGCGTCATTTCAAGAACTTACCAGCAGATCCCGAAGCAACAACGGACTGTGAGATTTGAATTTTGCTGCAAAACAAGAAGGGCAGGTCTAATCGGGTGTCGTCCCTCTCTTTCCACCCGAGTGTGCCTTTGTACTTTATCCTCCCAAGCTTCGACTTTCTTTATATTTTTGGCCTATTTTCTCATTTTACAAGATAATTAAATTTTGGGAAATTTTCTACACAAAAAGAAAAATTAATAAACTAAATCCATATATTTAAGCTATTTTAAAATATATAAACTTTTAAGTTATATCACACTGTAATTTAATATTTGTTCAACGTCTCATCGAAACGCTAACTCCGTGAATTAGTCAATGATGCTATAAGCCACAGTTCACACCAAAGCAAAGTAGGCCCAATAAAAATTTGGGCCAGTGAAGCTACAAGGTACAGTACAGGCCACAACAAGTAGGCCCAATAATTTTTTGGGCCAGCACTGATACAAAACATAGTTCAGACCAAAGTAAATTAGGCCCAATAATGTTTTGGACCATCGCTGCTATAGAGCATAGTTCAGACCAAAGTAAATTAGGCCCAATAATCTTTTGGGCCAACACTATTATAGAGGACAGTCCAGCCCGAGCAGAGTAGGCCCAATAAATTTTTGGGCCAGTACTGCTATACGGCAAAGTTCCGACCAAATCAAAGTAGGCCCAATAATCTTTTGGGTCAGCTTTGCTATAGTGTACAGTTCAGACCAAAGCAAAATAGGCCCAATAACTTTTTTGGACCAGTACTGTTATAAAGCACAATCCAGACCAGAGCAAAGTAAGCCCAATAATCCTTTGGGCCAACGCTGTTATATAGCACAGTTTAGGCCGAGCAAAGTAGGCCCAATAGTTCTTTGGGCCAGCGCTGTTATAGAGCACATATCAGGCCGATCAAAGTAGGTCCAATAACCTTTTGGGCCAGTGCTGCTATACTGCAAAGTTCAGACCAAAGCAAAGTAGGCCCAATAACTTTTTGGGCCAGCGCTATTATAGAGCACAGTTCAGGCCGAGAAAAGGAGGCCCAATATTGTCTTGGGCCAGTGCTGCTATACGTCAAAGTTCCGACCAAAGCAAAATAGGCCCACTAATCTTTTGGGCCAGTGCTGCTATAAGGCGAGTATGGAAAAATCCCGAATGCGAGTACTTCATTATCTCTCGTGCCCTAACCTCCAAAACTGCGAATCGGGAATTCCGATACTCGCTCCGAAAGCACAGTATCCTCCTTTGAGGTTTCGAGTAACCAATAAAGGCACCTGTGAGTTTCTCTAAGAACTGGTTTCACGTTCATTAGTATCATTTTCAGTTTCTGGGTTAATTACCAGACACTGAGCTCCTCAGCTGCCACTTCCTATCACATGTTTCTTTGTATGTTATTTTTAGCTATAGTTCATGTCTCTTTCTTTTGGCATTTGGTGTGGAATTCTGAACTTTTTCCATTGTGTTTTGTAATTACGAGTGACCCAATTGCCCATTTCTGAACTAAAGGTCTTTACTGTTGTGAAATGCTTTCATTGTCAATTATTTTTAACAGATCAATCATATCTTGATTGATTCAGGTGTATTTTCGAAATAGTTAGACCCAAGAAAGGGAAGTGTAGATTTACATAAGTTTTGTTAGAAATTAATTGAGCTAGAAACATACTACAAAGCATGATCTTGTAATTTCTAGACACATGAATTCCTAGATACTTGGATGTTTTTTTTAAGGTACATGAATTGCATACATACATTGTTTAATTTGTGTCTTTTAGAGATGTCTTTTGGGTATTATATAAAGGATCATTTCTCTCATTTGTAACAAATTTATGTTATATCCATCAAGATAGATCTCGAACTGCTGTGAGAGCCACCAAAGAAACAATCACCGGCCTAAATATGGATGATAATTCAGTGCACTGTGGCAAAGAAATGTGTACTAGAGATGGCACAGACGGTTATTCTCACATGGTAGGAAAAGAAAATACAGGGCCAACCGTCAATATGGATATGCCAAAATATAGAAACATAGAATACTCTCAGAATCTACTCAACTTGAAGTCTTTCAAAATCGTAGAGCCTCGTGAAGGAATGGAATTCGAATCGAAGGAGACTGCTTTTACATTCTACAAGGAATATGCCAAATCATTTGGTTTTTCTGTTATAATAAAGGCTAGTCGTAGGTCCAGAATATCTGGAAAGTTTATTGATGCAAAATTTGCCTGTACTAAATATGGAGACAAGAGAGAATCTGGTGTGGTTGAAGTTTCAGATCCTGTATCAAATTCAAATAATGGCATAGGTGTTCATGGGAAGAAAAAACGAGGTAGAACCAATCGGTCGTGGGAGAAAACTGATTGCAAGGCTTGTATGCATGTCAAGAGATTGCAAAGTGGAAAATGGGCAATACATAGTTTCATACAGGAGCATAATCATGAAGTTTTTCCAGATGAATCCTATTATTTTCATGGTCACGGGAATTTAGAAGTCGGTAGCAGTAACACTGATGTCTTGCATAGCAATAGAGCAAGAAGAAAAAGTAAGCTTTGTATGAAGTCCAAGCTGTCTGGAGGTTGTACAATAGCCAAGAAGCAAAACGTTGCTGCCATTGATCAGGTATGTAAGGCGCGACGTCTGGCTATAGACGAAGGCGATGTTCAAGTTATGTTAGACCATTTTGTTTGTATGCAAGATGAAAATCCTAACTTCTTTTACTCTATTGACCTGAATGAAAAGCAGTGTTTAAGAAATGTGTTCTGGGTTGATGCAAAAGGCAGACTTGACTATGCCAATTTTGCGGATGTCGTTTTCTTCGACACCACATACATTAAGAACGAGTATAGATTATCATTTGCACCTTTTATAGGCGTTAATCACCATTGTCAGTTCGTTTTGCTCGGATGCTCATTGGTTGCTGATGAGACCAAGCCTACATATGCTTGGCTGATGCGGGCATGGCTTAGAGCAATGCATAAATGTCCTCCAAAAGTGATCCTCACTGTACAAGATGAAGCCCTTAAGGAAGCCATTGCGGAGGAATTGCCTAATTCTTTCCATTGTTACTGTTTATGGGACATTTATAGCAAGATACCAGAAAAGCTTAGTCATGTAATGAGACAACGTGAAAATTTTATATCGATGTTCGACAAGTGTGTTTTTAAGTCTTGGACAATCGAAGAGTTCGAAAAACGGTGGCTAAGAATTGTTGACAGGTTCGAACTAAGTCATGATTCATGGTTTAAGTCGCTGTATGCAGATCGTAATCGATGGATACCTGCGTGTATGAAAAACATTTTTTTGGCAGGGATGTATACACGCCATAGGCCAGAAGGTATCAACTCTTTTCTTGACAAGTACATACAGAGAAAAACATCACTTAGGGAATTCTTAGACCATTATAGAACTTTTGCACGAGATAAATTCGAAGAGGAAGGAAAAGCAGATTTAGAAACTTTGCATAAACAGCCAGGATTGAAGTCTCCATCTCCTTTTGGGAAGCAAATGGCTGGATTATACACGCATGCAATATTTAAAAAGTTCCAAGTAGAGGTTTTAGGAGTAGTTGCTTGTCATCCAAGAAAGATAAGCGAAGATGGAGTGATAAAAGTTTTCAGGGTTCAAGATTTTGAGAACAACCAAGACTTTCTCGTGGAGTGGAACGAAGCAACTTTGGATATCTCCTGTTTATGCCGATCGTTTGAATTCAACGGTTACCTCTGTCGACACGTAATGATTGTTCTGCAGATCTCTGGTATACATAGTATTCCTTCTCAATATGTATTGACTCGTTGGACAAGGGATGCAAAGAGTAGACAACAAACCCAGAAAGGATCTCATGTCGAGTCGAGAGTACAACGGTATATCGATCTTTGTCAGCAGGTGTTTAGATTGAGCAATGAAGGGTCCTTGTCCCATGAGAGTTATAACGTTGCGTTCGATGCTTTGGAAGAAGCTTTGAGGAAATGTGAGAGTTTGAATGTCTCAATCCAACCATCCCTTGTAGCTCGTAGTAGTAGTAGCCATGAATCAGAAGAAGTAAACCAGGGTAAGAACACTAACAAGGACAATAAAAAGAACACGACCAACGTAAGCAGACAGGTAATTCAGTTTTCAGGCATTTTAAATGTTTACTACTTGAGACACTATTTTCAAATCTAGTTCATTTTCCACTTGTTTAGGATTGCTTTGAGCCAGAAATTAACACTGTCAGGATTCATGATGGCTGGCAACAATTGGTCAGTTTATTTTTATATTTGCATTGTAGCCTGCTCGTATATGATCTGAATTGTTACGTCGGACTAATCGTTTATGACTTCTTGCTTGCTGGGACAACCAAATTCACAGGCACCAGCCCTTCACTACCCTGATGAACAGGGGGGCTCACAAGGGGTAGTACGGCTCACTCTCGACGCCCTCTGATACTATTTGAAATATTTGAACAAAGGAGCAAAGGAGCAGAAAAGCTCCATCTCTTAACAACAGCTTATGCATGGAATGGTAAGACAATCTTTGATTGTGTTTCAGACAAGACAACTGCTTTAGTCTGCAAGTGTCCAAGGATCCTTGTTTGTGTTGTACTAGGAAAAAGACAGTTCTATCGCTTCTAGTCGCAATGGTTGTTTCGAGCATCGACATAGCATACGAGGGGCAGGGAATCGATTCGTACGACCTCTGCAAGGAGTTGTAAGAGATGTTTGAATATCATCTATTCCACTTTTACTGACATTATTAGTTGAACAAAACAAACAAAACGTCGACTTGTAGGAGCAATTGAACTTCAAACCCGACGCGGTTTCGGGTAGCTTTGACCTTCAAGTTGGTCAACAGGATGTGGTACTAAAATTATGTTTCATCTCCTTGTCTGTCTTTTATGTTCTCCATTGCTATGGTTTAAAGTTTGTGTTCATTTCTCTTGCAGGACCCATCTAGCGCGGAATCCACAGAGTTCATGGCATTTCATCCAATCAATGCAATTGAAAATCTATTTCCATAGCCGATCATCTATAGTAGCAACCATCTTTAGTGTGCATGAATCTGAACCCGAACATGAAATCTTAGTATCAACCGTTCGAGTATCATACTCCTTCCATTTATTGCTTGTCATGACAAAAGTGAAAACTACCTAAGAAGTAAGAATATAGATATAATACAACACGAACAATGTTCATATATCTAACATATTATTTTTCATATATGTGTCTATTTAGTGTACATCTAACACGTGTTCGATATGTGTCTAATGAATGTTGAACCTATATTAACTTTGTATAATTAGTGTCTAACTCATCTATTGTATTAATAAATGTTTGATATTATCGAATAAGGGTTAAGAAGAAAGGGCATGCTCGGGCAGACAATAAATCGATGAACACTTATTAATGAACAATGCTAATATTTTTTTCCCCAAACTCACCTACCAGATATGGGCTTCATATGAAAAAAAAAAAAAAAAATAATAATAATAATAATAAATTTTAAAAAAAAACATTAATATTAATTTTGTATTGTTTAATATGTGTCATGAATTGCACGCCATTATCTCACAATAATTTATATTGCAATCTAAAATTCCACAGGCGTGAAAAATGATGCATGGTTTTGTGAAAATCCATTTATTATTATTTTTTTTAAAAGGCTGTGATAATAATATAAAATATGATGTGATAATAATATAAAATACTATATTTATCCAAAATTTTAAAATCGAATTTTAGATTTTAAAATTTGAATAATATTGGACGCATTTAAAAAATGTAGAAAGGGCATTTCTGGCATTTGGATTTGAATTGGCACCGTTGCCTCATCCCCAACTACCACCGCCGTCAAAAGACGACAAACAAAGATCAACTTTTGCAGAGCTCCGTATTGTTACAGTCTCCAGTGGTGGAGCAGCTTCAACTTTCAAGGTGAAAGCATTTGTCCTTTTTCACTTTTAAATTATTCAATGATTTCTCCAATTAATTTCATCCAACAATTTATAATTAAATTACTTTAAAGAGACAAAACTGAAAATAATGGATCAAAATTTTCATTTTTTCCTTTCCAGAAAAAACGTGAAATTTGATCATCTGCATAAATAAGTTCTCCGTGTTTGTTCTTAGTACCGAAATTTGGCAGCCAGAACCCTAACTCTGCGGCCCCGCCACTCATTCAAAGTGAAGTAGACGGAGATCATATCACTCTCCTCTGAAGAGTTTCGAAACTTCCACATTCCAATATTAGGTGACGTTTTATTGCTTATCATCAGCTCTCGTTTCCCATTTTCGTTTATGGGTTTATTATTTCTTGGTTGGGCGGTTCTTTGTATGCGTGGTTTGGTCTGTTGATTTATTTATTCACTTTTAGTTCAAATAAGGCCGAGGATTCGACATCATGGAGGTCACTGATGACGTTCTAATTCACTTTTAAACTTGTTTCTTTTTTACTCTGTTTATGGGTTCTATGCAAATTTGAAAGCTCTGTTTATGGGTTCTATGCAAATTTGAAAGCTCTGAACTGGGAAATAACAAGGATGAATTACTCATCACAAGTTAGTTAGGGAGTGGAACGAAACATTCTTTATCTTCCCGGCAGACTTGATTTAAAAATCTTGAGGGGAAATCTGAAAGAAAAAGTCCAAAGAAGACAATATCCCAACGGAGGGTTTGGGCTGTTATGAATGGTATTAGAGCTAGACCGTAGGCGGTGTGCCAGCTAGGAGGCTGAACTCTGAAGGAGAGTGGACACAAGACGGTGTGCCAGTAAGGAAGCTGGGCCTTGAAGGGGATGGATTGGGGGTACCACATCGATGGGAGAAGGGAACTTGTATCAGCAAGGGATGCTGGGCCCCAAAAGAAGGGGTAGATTGTGAGATCTCACGTGAAAGTCCAAAAAAGAAAGCCTAAATAGTACAATATTTTCACTATTTTTCACTATTACACACTCAACTTGTTTTCACTATTTTTCATGCCCATTTCTTAATATGTTCATTTGTGTTGTGTTTGAAGTCATTGAAGGAAAAAACGAGTTCCATTATATTGGTATTACTTTGTATTGTTGGGTATCAATGTCAATCCACAGCTTACCAATGGGAATTTTGTTGATATGTCCTAAGTAGACAAAGGAAGCACTGGCGGCTTGACAGGCTCAGTTGGTATAAAGAAACCAAGCAACAAAAGCAAAGGAGTGATAGTGATGTTTAGTTCTGTTGCTGCTCATTCTCCTGCCACGCCTATCACTGCTATTTCACTTGGAGAACCCCGTGCTCGGGTCTTTCTTAAGGAACCCAATCCTTCGCCTCTTCTTGTAATGTGCAATTGTTTTCTATGTGATTTTCTGTTTAAGTTTTGGTAGCATTAAACCGTAATCTGGGTTTCTTACTCTTCAAATTTCTTAACAGACTTTATTCTCACGTAACTCTCTCCATACTCAATCTGTGCAACGACGGCCTTGCTTTACTTTCAAAGTCATGGCTGATGGTGAAACCATCACTTTTTCTTCGAAGATCACCTTTCCATCTGGTTCTGGTACTATCCTCTTGTCCTTTTTGTATAGAACGTCGCATTTTCTATACCTTACTGTTGTCTGCTGCTATTACAATTTCAGGAAAGAAACTAGCTCTGATATCATTGTCAGACAAGAAAGATCTTGCATTTCTAGGACATGGGCTTCAGGAATTGGGGTGAACTCTCCTAAACTTATTGTGCAATTTTGTTTTAAGTTCTTTGATTCATATATCTTATGAACTTGCAGCTACACAATTGTTTCAACTGGGGGAACCGCATCTACATTGGAAACTTCTGGGGTGCGTGTTACTAAGGTGGAGGAGCTTACCTGTTTTCCTGAAATGGTACGCTACCTTTTCCCTTGTTTATTCAAATTCCGAATTGAAAGGGTTACACACTTTTATAAATAATGATTTGTTCTCCTCCCCACCGATGTGGAATCTCACAATCCACCTCCCTTCGTTGCCAACGTCCTCGCTGGCACTCGATCCCTTCTCCAATTAATGTGGGACCGTCGAGTCCCAGCGTCCTTGCTGGCACACCATCTCGTGTCCACCCCCCTTCGAAACTCAGTCTCCTCGTTGGCACATCACTCTGGTGTCTGGCTCTGATACCACTTGTAACGACCCAAGCCCATCGTTAGCAGATATTGTCCTCTATGAGCTTTCCCTTTCAGACTTTTCCTCAAGATTTTTAAAACGCGTCTGCTAGGGAGAGATTTTCACACCCTTATAAAGAATGCTTCGCTCTCCTCCCCAACCGATGTGAGCTCTTACATTTTTGTTCCCGCATGAAGCTAACATGAAATTAGTTGGAGACTTCGCGGACTATTTTTTATACGTTAGTCATGAATTTTGGTTTGTGGTGGCAGCTTGATGGCCGTGTAAAAACTTTGCATCCTTCTATACATGGGGGCATTCTTGCTAGAAGAGACCAAAGGCATCATATGGACGCCCTGAAGAAACATGGAATTAGTGAGCTTTTATGCGATCGATCAATCTCTAGAATTCTTATGTGGCTCCTAAGTTTCAATTGCAAAGCATGGTCTTAGTTGCTGCATATCTTGCCTCCCGTTTTCTGAAATAGTTTCTCCGCAGGCACATTTGATGTTGTGGTGGTAAACTTGTACCCTTTCTATGAAAAAGTCACCTCATCTCAAAATCTTAACTTTGAAGATGGAATAGAGAACATTGATATAGGTGGCCCAGCTATGATAAGAGCTGCTGCAAAGGTAAGAAAGCACAGAACTGCGTAGGTAAATTATGAGCAAAGTTGATCTTGGGTTCATAATAGCTTCTTCCTGATCTAGGGAGAAAATGGCATCACAAGTATTCACATTAAGAACCTTTAAACAGCAATCAACCCTAAAGCTTAAACTAATAGATATGTGCACTAACGTGCATATGCAGAATCACAAGGATGTTTTAGTGGTCGTAGATACCGAAGACTATCCCACACTGCTCGAGTTTCTGAAAGGAAGTGAGGATGATCAACAATTTCGCAGAAAGCTTGCTTGGAAGGCATTTCAACATGTAGCATCTTATGATTCAGCAGTCTCAGAGTGGCTGTGGAAGCAGACTGTTGGAGGTAAATTCCATGTTTCATCTGTGCCAAATGCATAATCGCTAGAATGGTTCAACCCTCTTTACAAAAGTCCTCTGTGTTTGTTGTTGGTAGATAAATTTCCTCCCAGTTTTACTGTGCCTCTTTCCCTGAAAAGCTCACTTCGCTATGGGGAAAATCCTCATCAAAAGGCTGCCTTTTATGTTGATAAGAGCCTTTCTGAGGTCAATGGGGGTGGTATTGCAACAGCAATCCAACACCATGGCAAGGTGAGTAAGTATGAACTGTAAGGGTTTAAATATGATCATGGAATTGCATCATTATCATCCAAAACATTAGGCTTCTCCTAAGTATGCACAAAGTTTATTTGAAAACTTATGTTGTGTGCAGGAGATGTCATATAATAACTACTTAGATGCAGATGCAGCTTGGAACTGTGTATCAGAGTTTAGGAATCCTACCTGTGTAGTTGTGAAGCACACAAATCCATGTGGTGTAGCTTCACGTGATGATATTCTGGAAGCATATAGGCTGGCTGTGAAAGCTGATCCCGTGAGTGCATTTGGTGGCATTGTAGCCTTCAACGTAGAAGTGGATGAGGTTGGTATGTTTTCTTTTCTTCGAACATGTTTAGAGGACCAGTGTTCTGCCTTGATTTAATGCTTTACCTTAGGCTCTCGCAAGGGAAATTCGGGAGTTCAGAAGCCCGACGGATGGTGAAACTCGGATGTTTTATGAGATTGTTGTTGCACCGAAGTACACAAAGAAAGGGCTCGAGATCTTGCGTGGGAAATCGAAGACACTACGAATTCTGGAGGCAACCAAAAATGAGAAAGGAAAGCTATCACTCAGGCAAGTTGGTGGGGGATGGTTAGCACAGGATTCTGACGACTTGGTTCCACAAGATATACAATTTAATGTAGTTTCTGGAAAGGCTCCTCAAGAAAGTGAGCTTCGGGACGCAGAGTTTGCATGGCTCTGCGTTAAGCATGTTAAGAGCAATGCCATTGTGATAGCAAAGGTTGGTATATTATAATTCTGAGTTGTTCATGACACGTTTGGCTTCTGTTGGTAAACTTCTGATGCTGTCATTTTTTGGCAGAATAACTGTATGTTGGGTATGGGAAGTGGGCAACCAAATCGTCTC